TGTCCCCAGTGGGTCACTCACAGCCCTCGGTGTCCCCTCAATGTCCCCTCCGGTGTCCCCCCCAATGTCCCCAACAGGGTCTGGTGGCCACTCGTGTCCCCCAGTGTCCCCAGTGCGGTCCCATGCCCCCCGATGTCCCCAAGCGGGCCCCAGCATGGCCCTCGGTGTCCCCCCTTGTCCTCTCGTGATGTCCCAATGTCCCCCCGGCCCCTGATGTCCCCCACTGTCCCCAGTGCAGCCCCACGTCCTCCTCAATGTCCCCAACGTCCCCAACATGGCCACCTGCAACGTTCAGTGTCCTCCCCGTGTCCCCTGATGTCCCCAGCGCTGTCTCCGCCATGTCCCCGAGGTGTCCCCAGTTGGTGGCCTCAGTGTCCCCGATGTCTCCTCAGTGGCAGCCCCAGCACCGGCCCCGGTGATGTCCCCAGAGTGTCCCCAACGCTGTGGCCAAGGTGGCCTCAGAGATGTCCCCAACGCAGCCCCAGTGATGTCCCCAGTGCTGGCCCTTCAGCACGTCCCCATCATGATGTCCCCAGCATCCCCCGATGTGTCCCACCGTGTCCCCCATGGCTCGGGGACATCCAGCCGGCCACCCTTGGGGACACCTCTCCTCCTGGCGTCCCCTTCAATGTCCCTGCCGTGTCCCCAACCCCCAGTGACAGGTCGGGGGCTCAGCGTGTCCCTCAGGTTTATTGGGGAGATGGGCAACGGTGTCACCAACCCGTCCCTGGTGTCCTTGGACCACAAAGGGGACATCCTCAACACCCCCAGGTGGGACAGGGGACATCCTGGTGTCCCCCTGGTCTCCCCAGGACGAGGGACATCCAGGTGTCCTCAGGCAGGACAGGGGACATCCCAGTGTCCCCAGGACTGAGAAGGGACATCCTGGTGGCTCCAGGATGAGGAGGACCCTACTGGTGTCCCCAGATGGGACAGGGGGCACCCCAGTGTCCCCAGGATGGAGAAGGGACATCCTGGTGGCTCCAGGATGAGGAGGACCCTACTGGTGTCCCCAGATGGGACAGGGGGCACCCCAGTGTCCCCAGGATGGAGAAGGGACATCCTGGTGGCTCCAGGATGAGGAGGACCCTACTGGTGTCCCCAGATGGGACAGGGGGCACCCCAGTGTCCCCAGGATGGAGAAGGGACATCCTGGTGGCTCCAGGATGAGGAGGACCCTACTGGTGTCCCCAGACGGGACAGGGGACATCAGTGTGTCCCCAGGACAAGCAGGACCCTCCTGGTGTCCCCCATCCTCGTCCCTACTCGTCCTCCGGCAGAACCTCCAGCGCTCGGGCCAACCTCTCCGTCCCCTCCTTGTCCCCCATGGCTGTCCCCAAGGCCACCACGGCGTCCCCCAAGGCCCGGGCGCTGGCAGGGAAGCCCTGCCCCATCTCCAGGTCCTGGGTGACAGCGTCCACCAGGTTCCTCAGGTGACCGGCCACCTCCTCCAGCGTCCCCAAGGTGACGTTGGCAGCGGCGATGGCCTCGGTGGCCTCGGTGGTGGCAGCGGTGGCGGCGGCGGCGTCGCGGGCCAGGTGGTGGTAGCGCAGGGCTTGGTGACGCTGGTGACGGGCGGCGGTGGCCAAGTGACGCTTGGATGTCCCCGCGCCCCACAGGGCCACCTGGCAGAAGAGGACGACGGTGGCCAAGGAGGGGACGAGGTGGCTCTCCTGGGTCACCCCCAACGCCTCCCGCACCACGTCCAGGGACACTGCGGGGACACGGAGGGGACGGGGACGTCACCCGGTGTCCTTGTCCCCTCCCAGTGTCCCCAGTCCCATCCCAGTGTCCCCAGTTCCCTCCAGGTGACCACCATCCCAGTGTGTCCAATGTCCCCTGTCCCCTCCCAATGTCTCCACTCTTGTCCCAGTGTCCCCAGCCCTTCCTGGTGTCCTCTCCCAGGGTCTCCTCCTGGTGTCCCCCATCCCAGTGTCCCCAGTTCCCTCCCAGTGTCCCCAGTCCCCTCCAGGTGACCACCATCCCAGTGTCCCCCAGTTCCCTCCCAGTGTCCCCAGTCCTCTCCCAACGTCTCCTGTCCCTTCCTGGTGTCCCCCATCCCAGTGTCCCCAGTCCCATCACGGTGTCCCCAGTCCTCTCCTGATGTCCCCTGTCCCCTCCTGGTGACGCCCATCCCAGTGTCCTCTGTCCCCTCCCAGTGCCCCCAGTCTTGTCCCGGTGTCCCCCATCTCCTCCCAGTGTCCCCTGGGATCCTTGTCCCCTCCCAGTGTCCCCATCTCCTCCTGGTGTCCCCTCTCCCTTCCTAAAGTCCCCTCCCAGTGTCCCCAGTCTTGTCCCAGTGTCCCCATCCCCTCCCAGTGTCCCCAGTCCCCTCCCAGTGTCCCCAGTCTTGTCCCAGTGTCCCCATCCCCTCCCAGTGTCCCCAGTTCCCTCCCAGTGTCCCCAGTCCCATCCCAGTGTCCCCCATCCCCTCCCAGTGTGTCCCTGTCCATAGCAGTTGAGGCAGGTGAAGGTCTATACTGGTCTATACTGGTTTGTAGGACATCCCACCGGTCTTTACAGCTCCCTACTGGTCTACAGTGGCTCCTACTGGTCCTTACTGGTATATACTGGTCTGAACTGGTCTGTAGAGCTCCTGATCAGCCCATATAGGTCCAGACTGGCCTATACTGGTCAGAGCAGGGCACAGTAGCTACTGGTCTGTAGGGTTTCCTACTGGTTCCTACTGGTCTGTAGGGTCCTCTACTGGTATTACTGACCCAAAGAGATCTGCGGGGCTTCCTACTGGTCGGAACTGGTCCCTACTGGTCAGGGCAGGAGAAAGTCTCTACCCACCTGTACAGCTCCTTACTGGTCCGTACTGGTCCTTACTGGTCTGTAGGGTTCTCTGCTGGCACCACTGATCCAAGCAGATCCATAGGGCTGTCTACTGGTCTGAACTGGTCGATTCTGGTCTGTACTGGTCACGGCAAGAGAAAGCCTCTCCTGGTATGTAGAAATTTCTACTGGTGCATACTGGTCTCTACTGCTCTGCAGTGGTCCCTCCTGACCTAAACTTGTTGATACTGGTCAGGGCACATGAAGGTCAGTACTGGTCTGTAGGGCTCCTTACTGGTCCATACTGGTCCTTACTGGTCTGTAGGGTTCTCTGCTGGCACCACTGATCCAAGCAGATCCATAGGGCTGTCTACTGGTCTGTACTGGTCCATACTGGTCTGCAGGGCTCCTTGCTGGTATTACTGGTCTGTGGGGATCTCTACCAGCATTACTGGTCCAAGTTGAGCCATTGGCCTCCCTACTGGTTGGAACTGGTCCCTACTGGTCGGGGCAGGGGAAAGTCTCTACTGGCCCGTAGAGGTCCCTACTGGTGTGTACTGGCCTGTAGGGTTCTCTACTGGTATTACTGGTCCAAGCTGAGGCGTAGAGCTCCCTAGTGGTTGGAACTGGTCCCTACTGGTCGGGGCAGGGGAAAGTCTCTACTGGCCCGTAGAGGTCCCTACTGGTGTGTACTGGCCTGTAGGGTTCTCTACTGGTATTACTGGTCCAAGCTGAGGCGTAGAGCTCCCTACTGGTTGGAACTGGTCCCTACTGGTCTGGGCAGGGGAAAGTCTCTACTGGCCCGTAGAGGTCCCTACTGGTGTGTACTGGTCTGTAGGGCTCCCTACTGGTGTGTACTGGTCTGTAGGGTTCTCTACTGGTATTACTGGTCCAAGCAGATTCGTAGGGCTCCCTACTGGTTGGAACTGGTCCCTACTGGTCTGGGCAGGGGAAAGTCTCTACTGGCCTGTAGGGGTCCCTACTGGTGTGTACTGGTCTGTAGGGTTCTTAACTGGTATTACTGGTCCAAGCAGATTCGTAGGGCTCCCTACTGGTCTGAACTGGTCCATTCCGGTCTATACTGGTCCGTACTCACGCAGAGGGGCACAGAGGAGGATCAGCACCAGGGCGACGGTCCGGCCCAGCCGCAGCCCCCAGCAGTGCCGGTGGTTCCGCCTCAGCTCCCGCTCCAGTTCGGCGGCGCTGCCCTCAGCGACCGCCGCCAGCGCCCGGTAAAGACCCTCGGCACTGAGCTCCGGCGTCGCCGTCGCCGCTGACGCCATCGCTGCCACCAGCGCCGCTTCCAGCCCTGCCAGCGCCGCCTCCACCTCCGCCAGCACTGCCTTGGCCTCCGCCAGCACTGAGGCCACCGCCCTCGGTGTCCCCAGAGCCTCTGCCAGCCCTGCCAGCACCGCCAGCGCCCGCCTGGAGGCCACCGTGGCCGAGGCCACCGCCGGGGACAGTGGTTGTGGAGAGGACATCCTGTGCAGAGGACCCAAGTGTCCAGGTGGGGACCCAGGCACCCAGGGATGGGACCCCCTCCAGGAACCCAGGTGTCGTGGGGAGGACACACGCACCCCTAGAAGGGGGACCCAAGCACCCAGGGATGGGGACCTCCCTGGGGACCCAGGTATTTGGGTGGGGAGCCCTTCCCAGCCCCATCATGGAGATAAGAGGGACCCAGGAGGCTGGGGATGGGACCCAGGAATTCGGGTGGGGACCCAGGCACCCAGGGATGGGGACCTCCCTGGGGACCCAGGTATTTGGGTGGGGAGCCCTTCCCAGCCCCATCATGGAGATAAGAGGAGCCTCCCTCCCCCAGGAGGCTGGGGATGGGACCCAGGAATTCGGGTGGGGACCCAGGCACCCAGGGATGGGGACCCTCTCCGGGGACCCAGGTGTCATGGGGAGGACACACACACCCCTAGAAGGGGGACCCAAGCACCCAGGGATGGGGACCAAGGCACCCAGGAGGGACCCAGGAGTCCCAGAATGGGACCCAGGCATTTGGGTGGGGACCCAGACATTCAGGTGGGGACCCAGACGTTGGGGGATGGGGACCCTCTCCCGAGGACCCAGGTGTCCTGGGAAGGAGGACACACACCCCTAGAAGGGGGACCCAAGTGACGCGGGGAGGACACACACCCCTGGCACCCACACACGTCCGGGTTGTCGCCGCCATTTTCCCCTCCCAAGGGCCCGCGGCGTCCGGGCGGAGGAACCCCAACCACTTCCCTTTTCCACAGCCACGGAGGGTTCCCCCCACCCACCCTGGGGTGTCCCCCCCACCCCACAAAGCAAGGGACCCCCCCAACCGTCCCGGTTACGGCCTCCCCGCTCCAGCACCTACCTCCCTGCGCCCCTCGGGAAGGGTGCCCACGGCGGGGGGCACCCACGTCACCCACGTCACTGCCGCTCCCACACCCACGTGGGCCGGGGTGACAGGAGGGACCCGGGCAGAAAGGTGCTGCCACCCCCTTGGAGCCCACAATTACCTCCCCAGGGCCCTGATTTAACCCCTTGGGCCCTGATTTACCCCTCAGGCCCTGATTTACCCTCTCGGATGGGACCCAGGAATTCGGGTGGGGACCCAGGCACCCAGGGATGGGGACCCTCTCCGGGGACCCAGGTGTCATGGGGAGGACACACACACCCCTAGAAGAGGGACCCAGGCACCCAGGGATGGGGACCTCCCTGGGGACCCAGGTATTTGGGTGGGGAGCCCTTCCCAGCCCCATCATGGAGATAAGAGGAGCCTCCCTCCCCCAGGAGGCTGGGGATGGGACCCAGGAATTCGGGTGGGGACCCAGGCACCCAGGGATGGGGACCCTCTCCGGGGACCCAGGTGTCATGGGGAGGACACACACACCCCTAGAAGGGGGACCCAAGCACCCAGGGATGGGGACCAAGGCACCCAGGAGGGACCCAGGAGTCCCAGAATGGGACCCAGGCATTTGGGTGGGGACCCAGACATTCAGGTGGGGACCCAGACGTTGGGGGATGGGGACCCTCTCCCGAGGACCCAGGTGTCCTGGGAAGGAGGACACACACCCCTAGAAGGGGGACCCAAGTGACGCGGGGAGGACACACACCCCTGGCACCCACACACGTCCGGGTTGTCGCCGCCATTTTCCCCTCCCAAGGGCCCGCGGCGTCCGGGCGGAGGAACCCCAACCACTTCCCTTTTCCACAGCCACGGAGGGTTCCCCCCACCCACCCTGGGGTGTGGGCCCTCATTTACCCCCTCAGGCCCTGATTCATCCCTCCAGGGCCCTGATTTACCCCCTTGGGCCCTGATTTACCCCCCCAGGGCCCTGATTTACCCCTCCAGGGCCTTCCTTTACCCCTCCAAGGCCCTGATTTACCCCTCCCGGACCCTCATTTACCCTTCCAGGGCCCTCATTTACCCCTCAGGCCCTGATTTACCCCTCCCGGACCCTCATTTACCCCTCCAGGGACCTAATCTACCCTCTCAGGGCCTGATTTACTTCTCCAGGGCCCCTATTTACCCCCCCAGGGACTGATTTACCCCTCCAGGGCCCTGATTCACCCCTCCAGGGCCCTGATTTACCCCCTCGGGCCCTGATTTACCCCTCCAAGGCCCTGATTTACCACTCCAGGACCCTCATTTACCCTCCCAGGGACTGATTTACACCTCCAGGGCCCTGATTTACCCCCTCAGGCCCTGATTTACACTTCCAGGGCCCCAATTTACACCTCCCGGGCCCTCACGTACCCCTTCACGGCCCGATTTACCCCTCCAGAATCCTCATTTACACCCCCAGAGCCTTGACTCATCCTCTTGGGCCTTGATTTACCCCTCCAGGGCCCTTATTTACACCTCCAGGGCCCTGATTTACACCTCCAGGGCCCTGATTTACACCTCCCAGGCCCTCATGTATCCCTTCACGGCCTGATTTACAGCTCCAAGGCCCCGATTTACCCCCTCAGGCCCCACATTTCCTTCTCAGCCCTAAAACAGCGTCCCCCTGCACCAAGCCCCATCCTGGCCGCAGGCCCCGCCCCTCGAGCTCTGATTGGCGGAGCCGCCGCGGGTGGGCGGGACGAAGAACTGCGCTCCCCGCACCGCCCACCCCAGCCTTGCATTGGCCAGCGGGGAGGCGGGACCTCTGCGGTGTCTCCGCCTCTCATTGGATGGCACATTCCCGCCAACGGGGTGAGGGGGTGGGCTCTTCGCTCGGCCCCGCGCGCTGATTGGCTGAGCCGCGCGGAGCGGGAAGAGCGGCGATGCGGGCGCGTTCCCGGCGTCCCCTGCGCGGTTGTGAGGGGGAACGGGGGGAAGTGGGTGTACTGGGAGGTACTGGGAGGTACTGGGAATATGAGGGGCTGGTTACTGGGAGCCACTCGGGGGGAAAATGGGGAGATACTGGTGGGAGGGGAACTGGGAGTTACTGGGAACACAAGGGGCTGGGTACTGGGCGCCACTGGGGCCTTGAGGCGGGGAATGGGGACATACTGGGAGCCACTGGTGGTGTGTATGGGGGAACTGGGAGTTACTGGGAATGTAAAGGGCTGGTTACTGGGAGCCATTGGGGGTACTGGGAGCTCCTGGGACCTTGAGAGGGGAAAGGGGGTGTCACTGGAGATACTGGGAGCCACTGGTTGGGGGGGGATGGGGGATACTGGGAGTATAAGGGGCAGGTTACTGGGAGGCACTGGGGATACTGGGAGCCACTGGGGCCTTGGGGGGGGAGATGGGGACATACTGGGAGCTGCTGGTGGTGTGTGTGGGGGAACTGGGAGTTACTGGGAATATAAAGGGCTGGTTACTGGGAGCCACTGGGGGTACTGGGAGCTCCTGGGACCTTGAGGGGAGAAATGGGGAGATACTGGGAGCCACTGGTTTGGGGGGCGGGGGGTGGGAACTGGGAGTCACTGGGAATATGAGGGTCTGGTTACTGGGAGTACTGGGGATAATGGTATCGTGGAGGGGAATAGGGGCTACTGGGATTTACTGGGATCATTTTGGAGTGTACTGGTAATATGAGGAAAGGAGTTACTGGGAGTCACTGGGGGAACTGGGACCTTGAGGGTGAACTGGGAGTTACTGGGAGCATGAAAAGGGGAAATGGGGACTCTGAGGGCTGTGAGGTGCAGGACTGGGACTGGGGGGGGTGTGGTAAATTGGGGGCTACTGGGGTTACTGGGAGTGTGGGAGTCACTGGGGCTTTGGCAGGGGAAACTGGGACTTACTGGGGGGAAGGAGTTACTGGGACCAGGCAGGAACTGGCAGTCACTGGTTGTTACTGGGAATCATAGTGGCTGGGGGGGG